CAGGGACGGCCCGCCCCGCGCACACCCCCAGCTGCGGGCACCTCCAGCTTGTCCCCTGAAGTCGGGGGCCCAGTGTGGCCCCAGGAAGCAGCTCTCAGCTTTCCGCGTAATCCCATCTCTTTTCTACTCCCAGCCTTTTCTGGGGCTGAATTTTTCAAAATCCTTTCGGCTGTCGCCTGGCACGCCTGACCCCTCAAGCTCTCCGGAGCTGTCTGACTCCTGGGACGGGTGGGGGCAGCAGGCAGGGGGGGGGTTGTAAAGGAGGGACCTAGCATTCTGGGCCCTGAGATTCACAGCTTCTCTCTCTTTACACTTTTTTTTGCCACTGACCTCCCTTTCCCCACCACTGCTCTCCATAAGGCCACGTTTTAGTACACGTAGTTCCAAGTCCCAACCCTGTAGCCTGTGAAATCTGGGCATAGAAGCAACACCTCAGACTTTTTTAAAAAACCAGTGTTTGTATAGAGATGCTTTCCAAGATTAACAATGTATGTGGGATGAGGACAGACCAGAATGAAGATCTTAAGAAAGACTAACAAGGGTATTCGCCCAGAGTTTTGGGGGTGGAGCTCATCCACCCAGCAGGCATGTCAGCCTGATCGTTCTCTCTCCCTCCCTCTCTCTCTCTCCCTCTTTCCTTCTCTTTCTCTTTTTTCTTTTTTTTGTAGTACGAAAGCAAGTATTCAGATACACGTTGATAATGACTTACTGTGTTTTCACAGAGGAGAAAAAAACGTTAAAAAGCTACAAATTCATTATCCCTCATGCACCAGTCCTGCAAGTTAAACGTATTTAGAACTTTGCTTGCAGAGAACCGTGTGTGTAGGGTAGTTGATCTAGAAACCCTTCTTTTATTGTGTAGTTATAGCTTACATTTCAGATTATGCCAGTAAGTTTCAGTTGGATCCTGTTGGTGTACCATGAAATTGAGCAACATTGTACATCCTGGCTGTGTGGTAATTAATTCTAAACTTCATGAAAAGTGACAATAAAAGTTTAGTGAGGAAATTAGAGACCTAGTGAGTTGAAAAAGAGTACATCCAAGCCTTGAAGTCAAGGAGGTTGGCAAGTCTTAAAGACTAGTTGGTTTCCTCTTTGATTCAGTCTGTTGGTACATGAGATTTATTGACACCTGCTAATATATACTTATGATTTCAGTACCTCGTGGCTGGAAAAGAAGTGTTTTGGTGTGTTGTTTGTTAATTAGAATAGAGGTAAGAAATTGGAGATTTTCTGTATCAAACTATTTCTTAGTTGCTTGTTTTTGTGTGTATGTCTACATTCAGCCGTACTAAGTCTCAGATAGCTTGTCAAGTATTTGCTTCTAGTTCTACGAATATGAAAAACAGCTGAAATGGTTAGTACTTTTTGTTATTTACTTAAGAAAAGTAAATAACAAGAAAATAGGGCCAAAGTACAGTATTTACATGCACAGACCAAATTAAATAGTCCTTAATTTTTTTAATTTTTTTTTAGTGAAGATTTACACCGTATTTTGTACTTAAAGTTTTTTCCCCATTGATGTTAAAATGTGTTCAGTGGTTCGAAATTGTGTTCAGGTTTAGATTTTTAATATGGAGTTTACCAAACTAAAAGATCTGCCTTTGTAGCCCCTTGTCTAAACTGACAGTGAAGCAAATTTTAGTGCAAATAAGCATATTTATCCTCACACATTATGCCTTACCACTATCTGAAAATAGCTAAGAGGGACAGTCATAGACACAGTTTGGCAGCCTCCAGCGGCAAATGTTCTGCAACAGAAATTAAAAATTAAGATAAGAGTTATAGGTGTAATGTAGATAGCTTTTGTGTGGCTTGAGCAGTGAGGGGACTCCTCAGATAACAACCTGGAAGTCAGTTTTAGGTTAGCTTCCACCAATTCCCAGCCTAAGAATGATAGACAATTATTTTATTCCAGGTATTTATCAAGAACCTAATAGAGATATTTGGAATATATTATTATTGAAAGGAACCTTAAAGGTAGCTGGCTCATCTTATGGGCTTGGAATATGTAAAAGATGTGGCACTTTGCAAAAACTTTGGAGCCAAATTTCTATGTAACAGATACAAGTTCTGTTTTGGTTTAAATTTTTATTTTCATTCTCAAATCAATTAAGCAGTTTCGTAGTAGAATAATTCAGAAGCAGTAATCCTTATCTGAGAATCTTAATAGCTTAAAAGAATGAGCTAAGGGTGCCAGAAAGCCTAGTTTTTATGCCATACCTAGGCAATATCTACTTCCATTTTATAATAATGGTTTTAGAGTTAAAGAATGTTTTCTTTTTTCTATGTTGAGGATACATTTTTGGTCATTTTTAAAGTTCAGATTCTTTTTAAATTAAATATTGACAATTTAGTGGATATGCTCATGTTGGCAAACAGTTGGCATTAACTATGTTTGTCAATATTAAACTTAGTAACAGTTCAAGCACTTGGCCAGCATGTGAAGAAAGTGGTCATGTGAGGAAATGAAATGTGGGAGAAGAAAGAAAACCAGATTTGTTAAGCACCTACTGTATCAGATCCGTTAATTTGTCATCTGCACAATGCCTCAGAGAGGTTAGTAGGTTTTCCTGTCCTTCAGGAGTCTGAGGTTTCAGTACTTTGGGCAAATTTGCTAGGCTCACACAGACATGATATTGAAATCCAGATATATTTCACCACAAGGCTATCTACACTATTTTAGGTAAACTGCTTTTTGGAATAAATTTGTAGAGAATCTATCTTACTGCTGTTTTTTTATACCCTCTCCTAGTTCTCATAAGCATTTAAAGCCTCAAAGAAACACATTTTCATGGCTTTATGTTGCACTGTCCAATATGGTAGCCACAAGGCACATGTGGCTTTTAAAAATTAATTAGATTAAATGCAATTTTAAATTGAGTTCCTCACTCACACTAGCCACATTTCAGGTGCTCAGTAGCCACAGGGCTATCATATTGAAGAGTGAAATCCATAAGGTATTTCCATCTCTGAAGATATTCTCATTTTACAAATGTGGAAATAAACTCCAAGAAGTTTTGCCCACATACCTAGTAAATGGCAAAGCTAGAAATCAAATCCAGTGAACTGGCTTCACAAGCCATCCTCTCCCATTGTATCACAACATAATTTCACAGGTTTCCAGAGTCAATAGATTGGGAGGATTTTCAAACAATATAATTTTAAATAATTTAAAATTACTGCAATGGAACTCTTCTAAAAACAATGTTTTTATTTTTTAGGATGGCAAGAGGTTTTACAATTTACCTTACTAATTGTTTATCCCACATTTCTGAAATGTAGGTATTTTGCTTCCCCCTTACTCCATGTAGAGTATTTTGATATATACCAACACTGTACTTAACTTTTAAATTACACTGTGGGGAAAAAAAATAAGAAGTACCCAATGAAATGTCTAATATTTGGGAGGTAGGAGAAAAGAACACATGTGCCTTTTAAGTGGGTTTTTGGTTGGTTGGTTGGTTGGTTGGTTGGTGTGTGTTTTTTGAGCTTTATCTTCATCATGTTCACTTACAGACAGGCCCAACCTGACCTACTCCTTCATAGATGTGCTAATCGACACTACCCAGCACTCATCCCAGCTTCTTGCTTCGAAGCCAACTGGGTCTGTTAAGGCTTAAAGTCCATTCACATCCATTATCTACCTGTAAGATAATAGGATCAGCTTAGTTTTCTGATGAATTTTAATAGTCTGCGCAAATGTATACGTACTAGTTTTTTTCTACAGTGCCTATTTCATTGGCACCCCTGAGGGAATTGTATTTATATTAAATACTATTGCAAAGTATAAAAGGATAGCTTAAAGCATGTATGAGGGCAGAAGATGCTATTAGAGCTGGAAGAGTCGATTTAGTAACATCTGGAGGTAGCCATTCACATTCTTTTAGTAGTTCTTTCAGTCTATGACATAGCCCGCTCCAACCCCCACCCCATACCCATGATAGACGTCACTAAATAACTCCTGTACTCTTAGAACCTGCTTCCTGTCTCAAGATTTTTAATACAAGATTTCAGCTCCATTTTTAAATACTAAGGAGTTGCCTGTACATTACAGTGCTACCTACTTACTAGTTCTCAGATTTGACTTCAGCTTTGATTTGATGGGTATTACCTCGTTGTTTCTTTTTCCATCCTTTTACTTTCAACCAATCTGTGTTATGTTTTATTTTTCAGTTACAAATAACCAATAGCTGGATTTTTTTTTCACTGAATCTATTATCAACACTATGTCTCTCTTTTTTTTAACACTACGTCTCTTAATAGCTTAGTTTAATCACTGTTTAGTCATTACTAGTTATTTAGATTTATTTTTGCCATTTATTTACTTGTTTCCCTTTGTCATACTTTTTTTTTTAAATATATGTTATTGATTTTTTTACAGAGAGTAAGGGAGAAGTATAGAGAGTTAGAAACATCTATGAGAGAGAGAGAGAAACATCGATCAGTTGCCTCCTGGACACCCCCTACTGGGGATGTTGCCCGCAACCAAGGTACATGCCCTTGAATGGAATCGAACCTGGGACCTTTCAGTCTGCAGGCCGACGCTCTATCCACTGAGCCAAACCGGTTAGGGCTGTCATACTTTTCTTTGCCTCTTTTTTCCACCTTTAGCCCTTCTCAGATCAATTTTAAAAAATTATTTCACTTTTTCTCCTCTACTGATTTGGGTGCATTCTATTTCTGTTCTTTGGTGAGTTCCTTAAGTTTTTGCTAGAGACACTATTCTTCTGAACAAGGTAAGAATTTTAGCTGAACATTTTTATGTGATTTAGGGAAAAAACCTCTCTCTTTAAGACACTTAAGTGGCATTTGACAGAATATTTCTTAATAAATATACAAAACTACCATGTATACAAATGAAGTTGTGTAGTACACAGGCATTTGTCATGGCCCTGGTTAGAAAGTTTTAACTCTGATCTCTCCCCGAGCCTATTTTCTTTTTTAATGTTTGTTGTTGTTGTTTTTATTGATTTCAGTGGAAGGGAGAGGGAGAGAGAAACATCAAGGATGAGAGAGAATCATTGATTTGCTGCCTCCTGCATGTCCTATACTGAGGATCAACAATTCGGGCCACGTGCCCTGACCGGAATCGAACAGTGACCTCCTGGTTCATATCAATGCTTAACCACTGAGCCATGGTGGTCGGGCTCAGTGTTACTGATACTAGACTCTTAGTTCCACTGTATTTTTTTAAACTTCACCTCCAAATTGGTTAAATTACTATTGCCTTTTTCAATAGTCAATGTAGTTATTTTCTTTTTTCACTGCTGTTTATTGCATCTTATTTCTTCAGGGTTCAGTTTTCATTTTTTTTAAAATATATTTTATTGATTTTTTACAGAGAGGAAGGGAGAGAGATAGAGAGTTAGAAACATCCATCAGCTGCCTCCTGCACATCTCCTACTGGGGATGTGCCTGCAACCCAGGTACATGCCCTTGACCGGAATCGAACCCGGGACCTTTCAGTCCGCAGGCCGACACTGTATCCACTGAGCCAAACCGGTTTCGGCTCAGTTTTCATTTTAATGAAGTACGTCCTATAGTTATTTCATTGCTAGGGAAAAAAAAAATGTTTCTATCTTCCCTCACTCTGGAATGATAGTATAATTGTAGATTATTATTGTACCTAAAATCTTAAGTGGTATTATGCCACTGTCTTCTGCTTCTCTTTAAGTCTACTTTTGTTTTGTTTTTCATTGCTTTAAGATGTTTTTTCTCTTTGGTTGTATAGCAGGTCCTCAAAAAACTATTTTGTTCAACTTTGTTTTGTTATGACGTTGATGAGAAAAAAACTTGTGTGTGGTGTTTATGTATTCTCCCCATGTCTGCATGGGTTTTCTCTAGCGACTCTTAGTTTCCTCCTACATCCCAAAGATGTGCACATTAGATGAATTGGGGTGTCTGCATTGTGCTGGTCTGAGTGAGTGTGGGTGTGAGTGGTCCTGTGATTAATTGGGGACAAGTCCAGGGTGGGTCTCTTCTTGCATAAGATCTGGCCAGCCTCATCCCTGAACTGGAAAACTTGGGTTGAAAAGAATTCTCTTGTTTTTATTCATCTTCCTTAAATTCCATATAGCTCATATTTATTTCAGTGTTTAATATTACAAGTGGTTTGAGTCTTTTTTTAGAATTTCCGTGATGTTTTCCTGACCAGAAATAGGTCATAGGAACTAACTCTTCCTTATTTCAGTTAACTTATGATAAAATTGGGGTTTTTGTACATCATTTCACTTAGAGTCAGTTTCCAAGAACCTATCTACGACATTAAGTGAGAACTTGCTATAGTTGAGATGTTTTCCCCTTTGTGTTTTTGTTTAATTGATTTTAGAGGGGGGAAAGGGAGGGAGAGAGGAGAGAAACAGGGAGACAGAGAAAGAGAAACATCGATTTGTTGTTCCAGTTATATATGTATTCGTTGGTTGGTTCTTGTGTTTTGCCCTGAGGGGGGATCAAACCCACAACCTGGGTGTAACTGGACAGGGCTCTAACCAACTGAGCTGCAAGGCCTCCTTTTTGTTTTTGGAGTTCTCCTTCACTAGGATTTGTCCAGGCAGCATTTTTTTTTTCAGACTTTATTAAAAATCAGAAGATGTGTACCTTTCATTTATTTTAGAAAGTGTGAACCCATTATTTTTTCAATTATTGCTTCTCCCATTCTCTTTAGTCCTTCCTCTGGAGCTCAGATACACATTATCTTTTCGTTCTTTCCATCATGTCCGTTAATCTTTCCTTATAATCTATCTCTTAATTTCTTAATAACGTTAAGCAAACATACTATTGTTCTTTAAACTGCTTCTATTATTCTTTGGATGCCAGTTCTCATATCTGTTAAATGTACTCACTGCTCCATGGTGTTCCTTTAGTTTATAATTTTCATTGCAAATTTACCTTCAGCAATCAGTATATTTTTGTTTCTTGGGGTATTTTCTGTGATGTTCCATGAGCCCTAGGTTGTGGAAGTCTAACTGTAGAGTGATTTGAGGTATGTTTCAAAATAAGGCCTAGTGGAAAACAAAACAGAATTTTTTATTAGGTAATATATGCTCAAGACAGAACATTTAAAAGGTATATAGTGAAAAAATAAGTCTCCTTCCCATAACCCCACCCACCATATTCCGCTCCCTAGAAGTGAGGAACCAGTCTGAGTATTATTCTAGAGCAGTAATGGTGAACCTTTTGAGCTCGGCCTGTCAGCATTTTGAAAAACCCTAACTTAACTCTGGTGCCGTGTCACATAAAGAAATTTTTTGATATTTGCAACCATAGTAAAACAAAGATTTATATTTTTGATATTTATTTTATATATTTAAATGCCATTTAACAAAGAAAAATCAACCAAAAAAATGAGTTCGCGTGTCACCTCTGACATGCGTGTCATAGGTTCGCCATCACTGTTCTAGAGTGTTCTCTGCAAGTGCAAGCATGTGGATTTGCACTTCCCCACACTAATTGTAGCATACTATACAAACCTTTAACAATATTTTAATATCTTGGCAGCCTTTTATGTCAGTATAAAGCGAGCCATCTCATTATTTTAAATATATGCATAATGAATA